GTAGGTCATATGTCTATAGATATTTGTTGATGTCTTCAAGTTCAAGATTTTCTTTCTTTCTTTTTTGGAATATACATTTCAAAATGTCTCTGAAATTGAAGATAGAAAAATCTTTCAAGCTCCTGGATAGGAAGAATTAATATTGTCAAAATGGCAATACTATCAAAAGCACTATACAGATTTAATGCCATTCCTATTACAATTCCAATGACATTCTTCAGAGAAAGAAAAAAACAGTCATGAAATTCATTTGGAAAAATAAGATAGTCAAAGCAATCCTTAGCAAGAAAAGTGAAGCAAGAATCATCACAATACCAGACCTTAAATTATACAATGGAGCTATAGAAACAAAACAGCACATTATTGGCATAAAAGTAGACATGAAGATCAATGGAACATAATAGTAAACACAGAGACAAACCCACGTATATAAAGTTGTCTCATACTAGACAAAGGTGCCATAAACATACACTGGAGAAAAGATAGCCTCTTCAGAAATCTGGGGAAACTTGAAATCCATATGTAGCAGAATGAAATTGAACCCTATCTCACACCCTGCACAAAACTCAACTCAAAGTGAACCAAGGACCTAGGCATTAGGTCAGAGACCCTGTGCCTAATGCAAGGAAATGCAAGCCCAACTCCAAACCTTGCTAGCTTAGGAACCAACTTCCCCAACAAGACTCCTAAAGTGAAAGATGTAAAATCAAGAACCAATAAATGGGATGGTATGAAACTAAAATGTTATTCAAGCAAAGGAAACAAGAATGTGAAGACAGATATTACAGAACAGGAGAAAATCTTTGCCACCTGTACCTCAGAGCATTAATCTCCATGATATATAAAGAACTAAAAAACTTAACACCAGAAAACAAATAACCCACTCAATAAATGAGCAAAGGAACTAAACAGATACTTCACAGAAGAAGAAATGGTCAATAAATATATGAAAAATCGTTCAACATCTCTAGCAATTAGAGAAAATACAAATTAAAACTACACTGAGACTTCATCTCACTCCAGCCAAAGTGGCAGTTATCAAGAATACAAGTAATAACAAATATTGCCGAGGAGATGGGGAAAAGAATACACTGATACATTGCTGGTGGGACTGTAAATTGGTTCTGTCACTCTGGAATGCAGTATGGAGATTCCTCAAAAAACTAGGAATGGAACCTCCATTTGACCCAGTTATCCCACTCCTAAGTATATACCCAAAGGACTTAAAATCAGCATACTACAGTGATGCAGCTACATCAACATTTATAGCAACTCAACTAGCCAAGCTATGGAACCAACTCAGGTGTCCTTCAACAGATGAATGGATAAATAAAATGTTATACACACACACACACACACACACACACACACACACACACACACACAGGAATATTCCTCACCCATAAAATATGACTTTGTGATTTTTGCCAGTAAATGAATGGATTGGGAGACTATCATGCTAAGTGAAATAAGCCGATCCCCAAAACCAAAGGTCAAATGTTCTGTCTGATATGTGGATGCTAAGACATAACAAAGGGCGAGAGAGATAGAAATTCATTGGATTAGACAAAGGGGAGTGAAGGAAAGGGGGTGGGGAAAGAATAGGAAAGACAGTGGAATGAATTAGACATAACTTTCCTGGGCACATATATGAATCCACCACAGTGAGTCTCCACATCCTGTACAGACACAAGAATGGGATCCTAATTAGAAGAAGAGGTTGCTCCATGTATATTTTATATGTCAAAATATACTTTTGTCATGTATATCTACAAGAAAAACAGCTCCTCCCTTTGCACAGCGCCTGGATGTGTGTCTTTCAGCAAATTCAAGTTTCAAGGGGAACATCTCAGAGTGTAGATGGCTCTGGGTGTAGTAGGAAATTGGTGCAGAGACGTATGCGGTGTGTAAGGGGTGTGTGTGTGTATGGTGTATGTGTGTAGATTTATTGTGGGTTGGGTGTGTTGGTTGTGTGTGCTGTTTAAGTGCTTGCTGGGTGTGAGTCAAGGTGTGTTTGTGTTGGGCATATGCTAGGCATGTGTCTTGGATATCTTGTGTGTGTGATGAATGTTGTGTGTTATATGTCTACCTTATCTGTGACATGTGTGTCTGCGTTTGGTGGGTCTTAGGTATGTGGTACGTGCGTGTGTGCATGATTGTGTCTGTTAGGTCAGTGTCACACATCTTCTGCATGTACATGTCAAATGCCTGTTCTACAAAGTGCCAGACACTATATTAACCATGTCACATACTTTATCTCAACCACAAAGATGACCATATGGGTGAGGTGCTCTTGATGGGCCCTTTGGTGATGAGGAAACTGAGGAACAGGGTTTAAATGATGAGCAGTGGTCACGCAGCTCACAAGGAACCTGGTCAGCTCAGGTCCATTCCAAACCCCTGGTCTCGGAGCCAGCAGTTCTCAGGCTAGTGTTTGCCCTGGAATCCCTGCGGACTTGTTAGAGCCCAGATCCCTGAGTGGGTCCCTGGTGACTTCAGATTCAGCAGGGCAGGAGGGGGACTCAAGATTTATCCTTTTTTAACCAAGTGAGGCTGATGCTGTCAGTCTGAGGACCACACCTGGAAACCACTGCTCCAGGCACGGTCTCCAGAGAGGGCGGAGCCAAGGAAGCGCTGCTGGGGTGCGAACACGCAGAGCCCTGTGTGGGTCCCAGCAAAGCCAACGGCGAGTTCTGAAGTTGGTGTTTTACGTGGAAGCTCATCCTCCTCACTGGGCAATGGGGACTTAAATCTAGCAAATCTCGTGTGATTGAAAAGGCAAAGGCAGCTTTCCTCTAAGGAACTGTATTATGACAAGCTGTGGACCTCTGTCCTGTGAGCAGTTCTGAACCACAGGGTGGGAAGCCGTGTTTTCTAAGGAGGGAACAACACACCGTCTGGTGTTCCCCAGGACCGGGCATCTCTTCTTCTGTATTTATTCCCCAGAACAGACTGACTCAGTCATTTTGCCTATATGTTCTGGAGCTGGAAGCCCAAGGTCACTGGGCTCCCCAGTCTTACACTTCCATTGAATGGCGTCTGTGCCTGTGTGACTCTGAGTCAATACTGCCTGAGGCAGGATTTGAGGGCTGGGTGGAATGGCGTGTGGACGTGCCCGGGTGCAGCGTGGCTGATGGAGGCCCTGCGTGCCGTGTGCTCTTCTCGCTGCCCTTCATTTCTTTTCGGTGTGTTCTCCCTATCAGGATCAGAGAACAGGACAGAGGCTGGACAAAGAACAGGACTGAATGCTGACAGCTAGAGGCAAGGAGTCAGCTCTTTGAGGACTGAGGCTGGCTGGGGGTGAGGAAATGTGGAGGGTGCAGATGTTGTTCTTAATGCACTAATGAAATGAAGTGAAGTGGCTTCTATTGCTGGCCCCTCCATCTGGCTTTCACTGGAATGCCTCAGGATTGAAATCCAGTGGTGTTGGTGACCTGGACTGGCCGCGGGCCTCAGGCAGGAGCGTGGTTCTCCCACAGGTTTGCAGCACGTTTTATCCACCAGGACTTCAGGTCTGCCAGGTGGAAATCCCATGTTGCAGAATTTAGAGACGTGGCTCCCAGAGGCCGCTGCCTTTTCACTTGCTGAGCGGCAGCTCTGCACCGTCAGAAGCAGGGCCGCGGAAGAACGTTGCCAGAGCTGAGAGCCGAGCTCAGGCTCAGTTCGTCCCCGTGCTGTTATTCTTGGGAACCAGCCTCACATGACGCTGCCAAGTGCAGTGAGGCAGGCTGTCAACCGCAGTGACGGGCTGACACTTGAAGCATGTTGGGGCAGAAAGGAGAAGGGCTTTGAAGGAGACCCCACGACTCCACTTTCCACCCAGAAATTCTAAGGGTTCTCCTACATTGTCTCCTCCTCCCTCCTTCCCACTCCCCCTCTATCCCAGAGATCATGCAGCCAGAACAGCTGGGGGCCAGGTACATTGCCTGCTGTCCTACTGGGAATCCTACTGGGTGACTGGCATTGTCCCCGTGGTGGTAAACTGAGGCTCGGGAAGGAGAAGAGAATGCAGCACTAGAACATTCTACCGTCGAAGAGTGGCTGCAAGTCAGAACCTTTTCTGATCATTTTATCTGCACCAGGAGGCAAGGATCTTCATCAGAAATTTCCTTTTGGAAAAAAAACTGGAAAACATATATCAAATAGTGTATGCAGCACCAAGAATATAGGGGTGCTTAGTAAATTCAATTTCTTCTCCTGCCTTCAAATCCCTGGCTGATCTCATGTACTCAGAAAACCCAGCCTGCCTGATCTCCTTCTGCGTTTTCTCCCATCCCAGACCTGGACTGTTTTAATTTCACTCCTGCCTGTCTTGTCACTCAACTCTCTTGTCTCCGGGCTGGAAAAACGAGCACCATGTCTAGTTGGGCCCAGTCTCTGCCTGACCAGCAGCCACTGGCTCTCTTCCTGTGGTTGCTAGAACACACATTTTCCTTGCCACTCCCTCCACCAGGATTCACAATACGGTGTTATCAGTGATGATTAATCATATTAATGGTAGCTAGTCCACGTGGAGTGTGTGCTGGTGTCGGGACTCTGTGGTGCGCAGCATGGAGTGTTGACCTAATCTTTCCATCGTCCACCACCACCGTGTTCTAGTACCGGTCCCCATGTGGCAGAAGTTCAGTGACTTGCTTAAGGTCACATGGCTAGAAAGCAGGAGAGTGGGGACTGGAGACATGAAGGAGGGGCTTGCCGCCACTGTCCTGACAGGGAAGGGCAGTGGACCTGCCTAGCTTTGGGGTCAGCACACCTGGGTCTGAGTCAAAGCCCTTACAGGTGTGAGCTGCATGACATTCGCCAAGTCACAGCAATTCTCTGTGCTGTCTCTTTTCATAGGAACCCCAAGTGGTGACACTGAGCAGAGACATGGAGCTCTCTTGGTCCACCGAGTTGCATGTGACTTCCTTCTGGGGCTGCTGGGTTCTCCTTGTGGGACCAATGTCATCTCAAGCTATTAATTTCCCTCTTTGTTTTCCAGGTAATGAACCAAAAAGATCATGTCTGAAGTTCAAGGAACGGTTGAGTTTTCTGTAGAGCTACATAAATTCTATAATGTGGATCTCTTTCAGAGAGGGTGAGTATGCTGCACAATCTGCGTGTGTGTGTGTGAGAGAGAGAATGTGTGTGAGTGTGAGTGTATGAGAGTATATGTGTATGAGTGTGTGTGTGTGTGAGTGTGTGAGTGTGTGTGTGTGTGTGCATCTTTTCTGAAAGGGGGTGGGGAGGGAAGGTTATATACTGGGAATTAATGAGGAAAGGATTTTCATTATTTTTTCCTGCAAACTGAAAAATTCAAACTTTTAGTTCATCTGAAAATAAATCATTTGCTGACAAATCTAGAAAATGCTAATTTATCCTTCCCACACCCCTTTCTATCTTACTTATTTTCAATTCCTCTTTAGATATGTAAATTTTAAAGAAAAGTGAGTCTATGGCGAGTGAAAATTGTTTGTGTACTACTGATGAATGTGTGTGTTTGCTACTTGTTGGGCTATCTCTCCTGAGCTACATACTGTAAGATATTTCAAAAACTGAGACTGTTTGTATGTAATAATGTCCCTTTAAGAATGTAACAAACATACAGTTGCTTTCATTTTGGGGGGACATGGTCTGACTATGACACTTTACATGTGAACCCACAAGGTCTTCGTGTTAGACTTCCTCTCAGGATCATGAAATGGTTGCTACGTTGGTCAGCTTTTCACCACTGTGTCAAAACACCTGAGGAAAACAATTTAGAGAGAGGAAAGGTTTATTTTGGTCCCTGTTTTCTGTCCATGGTAAGCTGGTTTATTGCTGAGCCTGTGGGAGGCAGAGCACCAAGGCAGAGAGATCATGGTAGAGTGTGGTTCCTCATGGTGGCCAGGAAGCAGAGGGAAGAGGGGCCTGGAGCCAAGATCTACCCTTCCAGAGCATGTCCCCAGGGGTCTACTCCTCCAACTACCACACCTCCACAGTCCAACAGTCCATTCCCTTATGGACCCCCTGGAGGATTAGCCCTCAGGTGAGTTAGAAGCCTCATGATCCAGACACTTCCCCAAAGCTGCATCTCTGAACACTGTGGCCTCAGGGACAAAACCTGTAACACATGAACCTGGGGGTGTACTGCAGACCCAAACCCTGACGTTGCAGAAGGCAGCTAACACAGACCGGAGCTGTGTACATTCACAATGGCTACAACTGATGTTTCCCGCGTTAGTGACGAAGAAATCAAAGTCTTTACAACCCGAATTTGTGTGGTGCTCGTGTTAACAGCAGACGAGAGTTCAAAATAAGGGATATCTATCCATTTGCTTTTGCTCCCAAAAAACCTCCCCTAAATGTAGGAGCCTGAAACAACAAGTCCATCTCCTGACTTTAAGGGTGAGCACTTTGGGCTGAGCTTGGCCCCAAGGTGGTCTTGCTCAAGTGGACCAGGCTGGGCACGTCTCAGCTGGGCTCCTGCACAGGTCTGGGGCCTGGGCGGGGAGGCTGCTGGTTCTCCCCCTCCAGCAGGCCAGCCTGGGCCTGGTTCCAAGAGCCAGAGCAGAGGCAACACAAACTCGTTTTTCTTTACTTTAAAGATTCTTACACATCTATGGGGTACGGTGTGCTATTTCAATGCAGGCGCATGGTGTGTGATGGGCAGGTCAGGGTGGCTGGGATGTCCCTCGCCTCAGTCACTTACCATTTCTTTATGTTGGGAATGTTCACAGTCCTCTCCTCTGGTTACTGTGAAATACAGAATTCGTGGTTGTCAGTTAGCCTCACATTGTTGTCGTGATCATCCAAATGTCAGAAGTCATTCCTCCAATCTAATTGCCCCCTTATCGACTGGCCACCTTCGCTCTCTTCCTTCCTCCCCACAACTCTTCGGAGGCTCTGACAACCATTAGTCTCTATTTCCCTGAGATCAACTTTATAGCTTCCACATATAAAGTGAGAGTATGTGGTATTTGTCTCTCTGTACCTGGTTTATTTCACTTATTATCAAGTCTTCAAGGCTCATCCGTGCTCTCACCGATTATGGGGTTTCATTGTTCTCTAGGAGCACATAGTATTTCTGTATGTGTGTGTTTGTGTATACGTGTGTGTGTGTGTGTGTGTGTGTGTGTGTGTGTGTGACTATTTATCCAGCTTTTTCATCTATGGACACATGGACATCTAGGTTGATTCCACATGTTGCCTATTGTGAAGAGCGTCTCTTTGACATACTGATTTCCTTTCCTTTTGCTACATACACAGTACTGGAGTTGCTGGATATGGTCGTTGGTTCTATTTTAAGTTTTTTGAAGAACATTTACAGTCTTCCTAATGGCCATCCTAATTTTTGGTATCACCAACAATGCATTAGAGTTTCCCTTTGTATTACCATATCTCATTGCTTTAATTGCATTTCCCTGATGATTAATGACGTTGAGCAGTTTTTCATAGGCACACTTCCATGATCTACCACCCAGGTTAGACTCTAGTTTCAAAATGATAGTTATGAAATTAGTGCCTTCTGTGTGCCATGGTCCCTTCTTACAGAGGGTGAAATTCAGTGGTTTGGGAAGGTGACCTAAGCCAGGCCGTGTAGTGTGAGAGATGGGGAGTGATTCTGGGACCGGCTTTCTGTTCCAGGAAAGGAGGCCCACAAGGCCTTCAGGTGGGCTCAGGAGCTGGGCTTAATGAGGCAGAGCTCTGTGCTTCCCCCTGGAAGCTCCTCTTGGTCAGAAGTTGCCTGCAACAGAGATGAGAGCCCTGAGCTGGGAACCAAGATGCCAAAGCCGGGCTCTGCTCCTGCCTCTGTGTGGTCCGTGGGTATGTCCCTCTGCTCCTCATGTTCCACATTTAGGAGGGAAGGAAGGAAGCAGCTTTGATGATGTTGTGCGTCATCCTGGTGTTTGACACTTTTCTACTCATTACCTCCTGGCTCTTTGTGACCAACTACAGAAGGAAGACATATGATATTCAATTTTGATAGGCAATTTGGAGTCAAGGAGAAGAGCAGCCCAGGCCTTCACATAGCCAGGTGGGAGAGGCTGCAGCTAAGTCTCTCTCACTCAAAATCTCGAGCTCTTTTCTATTATTTAAGGCTAACCTCCAAAGTGGGCGGTATTCTCTCCAGGGTGCACAGAACAGCCATCAGGAAATGGAAAGGAAATATTAGAACTTCTGCTTGCAATTGTGTAAGCCCACAAGAAGAAAGAAATGAAGCTTCACTGATAAATAGAATCCAGGCTGGTCCTGGAAACCTTACTTGTTCCTAGGTCAGACAGTTGGTGAGTCCCTTCCTGTGACTCAGAGACCAAGAACAAAGAGCGCAGCCAGAGCACCGCCCGGCTGAGGCCACCCTCACATTATATGAATCTGTAAATTGTTCTCTACCTCCAACTACAAAAACCCCCTTAGAACTCTGAAGGGATCGTGAGCTAAGGTGATATTAACAAGGAAGAATGCAAACACCAGGAAACCACAGAATGATGCTGATCCGACTCCTTGCACAAATCTCTTGATACACACTGAGATTAAAAATGACAAGCTAACCAGCTCCAACAGTATCGGGCAGAGAGGTCTGGAGTTCTTCACTCCTGAGCATCATTCCCTGCAAACCTCCGCCTACCTGGGTGTTGGGCTTTGAGGTCTTGGCAGGCCTGTGTGAAAAAAAATCTCCATTAGGAAAACATTGCAAGTGACACATCCAAGACACCAGTGAACCCCTGTGGATTTGCCAAGGAGGTGAAAACCGAGTATGGACATCATGACTCTTCACCAGGCCTCGATAGTCTCTTTCTAGAGCTGCATGTTTGGGGGGGCAGCTTGTTTAGCTGAGTTCACTGATAAAACGTAATATTAAATTATGCTAAACTAGAGCCAGGGCTTGCAATCACTTAATATGTATATATATATATTTTTTTAATAAGAAAAGGTGAGGTGTTCTCATATAAAAACTCTATTTTTATTTATTTATTTATACATTCTAATTTGTTTATGTGACAGCAGAATATACAGTACACATATAGAGCACAATTTTTAGTACACATATAGAGCATAATTTTCATATCTCTGGTTATATTCAAAGTACATTCACACCATTCATGTCTTCATACATGTACTTAGGGTAATGATGTCCATCTCATTCCACCGTCTTTCCTACCCCCCTTTCTCCTCCCTTTCCCTCCTTCCCCTTTGCCCTATCTAGAGTTTATCTAATCTTACCTTGCCCCCCACCCCCTACCCCTTTATGAATCATCATCTTTAAATCAGAGAAAACATTCAGCACTTGTTTTTTTTGAGATTGGCTAACTTCACATCTGCATTATATTCTCCAACTCCATCCGTTCACCTGCAAATGCCATGATTTTATTCCCTTTTAATGCTGACTAATTTTCCATTGTGTGTATATACCACATTTTCTTTATCCATTCATCTACTGAAGGCCATCTAGGTTGCTTCCACAGTTTAGCTATTGTGAAGTGTGTTGCTATAAACATTGATGTGGCTGCATCACTGTAATGTTCTGCTTTTAAGTCCTTTGTATATAGACCAAAGAGTGGGATAGCAGGGACAAATGGTTTTCCAAGGAATCTCCATACTGCTTTCCATATTGGCTGCACCAATTTGCAGTCCCACCAGCAATGTATGAGTGTGCCCTTTCCCCCCACATCCTCGCCAACACTTGTTGTTTGTGTTCTTAATAGCTGCCATTCTGACTGGAGTGAGATGATATCTTAGAGTGGTTTTGATTTGAATTTCTCTAATTGCTAGAGATGTTGAACATTTTTTCATATATTTGTTGATTGATTGTATATCATCTTCTGAGAAGTGTCTGTTCATCATAGGTTATTATATTCTTTCTTCTAAAAGACGTTTTCTATATTTCTGATGCATGTTGTATATAGCATATATACATGTTCATGATGTTGAATAAATATAGAGATATTGGGGTTGCATGCTCAAAAATGTTATTCTTCCTAAGGATGCACATCATTAAGATTAAAAACAGAAGAGAGACCAGGAGGAGGCAGAAGGAGAGGAAAGGGGCACACTGGAAAAGATCTTGACCAAATCCTATTATCATATCATGTGCTTATATAAATGTGCAATAATGGA